AAAAAGGTTCTGTTTTTTTCGGTTTTGAGAAGTGGAGATACACAAGGACATTGCTTTTATTATTATTACACAAAGGAGCACGATGGTAAAGGGGAAGCTGCATCCGGGACAGAAACAGCCGCATTTTACTGCATTTTTCAGGTCCTTTAAGCACCTGCACAGACAGCATCCTAATGCTAAGCTAGCCAGGAGCACAGAGTCATGACAAAGCTGAGTGAATGCCAACCCCATCCCAGCAGCTAGACTCTGAACTTCAACAGGTAAAAAAAGAAGCGATGAGCAGTCAGGCTGCATTCCCATCACTCCCATCCTGAGGCCGCCAAAGTGGAAGCCTTTCGGCAGTTGGATGAAGTGGAAATTCTGTCCATAAAAATTATGAACACAATCTGTGGTAAACACTTTACCCAGGTAAAGTCCAACACTCACTGGGAACAATCTGACCTACTGCTGCTAATGCAGGCCAAGCTCTCACTACATTTGTAAGGGACCGAATGGCTTGTAGCAACTGACCAGATGCCCTTTATGCCCACGTTTACTTGAGAAAAATGTTTACTTATGGCATAAGTAAACATTTTTCTCATTAGTTTATAGTCCCAGACTTGATTTAAGTCTTAATAAAAATTGAAGATTATTTTATAAATAATGACCCTGTTAGAATCACAAAGGAAGACAAAGTAAGGCATCCCATATGGAAAAGATATATATAAATCTTATAAAGTTTGTATCTGTCTTGTGTGAAACTTGTATGAAAAGCATACAAGAGTGAAAACACATATAAGATCCCTTGAAAAATTATATAATGAAACTTGTATGTTTTGGATACTTAACAATATATGAAAGTAATGAGAAAGTGGCCACTTTCATGAGTAAATCATAAAATTCTTTACTATTTCTTTTCCATATGGGATGTTTTAAGCTAGCCCAACTTTATGATTGACATGTCTGTGCTGTGTGTGTGTGTGTGTGTGTGTGTGTGTGTGTGTGTGTGTGTGTGTGTGTGTGTGTGTTTGTTTGTTTCAGCACATGAGTGCTAAAGGAGCCGGAGCCTCATGGTCCCTCTCGCTGCACACACAGAACAAATTATAGAACTCGTGCTAAAAAAACATTTCACTTTTCACACACGGGTGAAAAATCCATAGTGTCTAGCCAGTTTTGGATTTCTGACCTTTGACCTCTGATGTGAGACCCTGCTGAGTTTTAATGTAAGATGCTAAAAGCCAAACTGAAATGGTAGTTTTGGCTGCAGTCAGTCAAGTTTCAGATTGTCCAGACTCATCAAAGCATTTTATTATATTTTGGACAAAATAAAGAGAAAAGTAGCGTTAAATACAACAAATGTAATTCTAATTTTTGATAAAACGTTCCTCAATCTGACCTTCCTAAATCAAGATTTTCATATTTGAGAGAATTTTTTCTATTATGTTTTGCATTTGCTGTGTTAACCAACTGAATCAGAACTAAATTCAGAAGAATACAACGAGACAAATACTTTTAATATACAGCTCACTTATTAAAATCTCAACAAAAGTTGTACATTTTTCGCTCTATTAAAAAATTGTGTCGTGTTTATCTTTTTAAAGTAGTTTCTATGTATCTTTAATTCAGTCACTTGTTATATATTAATACAGTGACAACTCACTGTAAATGAGCCCTTTCTCAAAATGTGTTTTCACATGTTTATAGGCTTAAAGTTAGGTGTAAAAACTTTACCATTCACGCTGCATCTGCACTGAAAAAAAGAAAAGGTTACAGAGTTTATGTGTGTGTGTTTGAGACGTTCCTCCAGCGGGCTGATTGAGTCTGATCGATTTGTGGAGTCTGGGAAATGCTTTTATCCCTGAGACAGCAGATGAGGCAAATGGAGAGGAAGATGATGAAAAAGGAGGAAGAAAAAAAACGCAAAAAACTGAGATATGATGGAGATCACTGGAACAGCCCTAACAATTCCTTACTGAAGATGAATGTTTACCTTTTTTGTCAGTTATATTGCAAATGCAAGGACATTTTTTGGTATTCCTGTACACAAATTTCCATTCATCCATCTGTTCCATTTTCCAAAGCCAGTATCAGTATCGAGTGATACATAACAACTGAAGACTCCTGAGAACATTTCACTTTGTTGAAGTGGTTTAAAAGTCATGAACACAAACTAATAGGTGCTTTTCACTATTAGACTACAGGCTGCTATTAGACAGTGTGAACATGCCATTAATTATTTCAGAATAAAATATGAATGTAGCCTTCACCCATTGGTTAGTTAAGACGATGACGACGAGCGGATGATGGCATCATTGGCTAATGATCTATGAGTTGCGTATAGCAAACAAAATACCCTTGATAATCCTCCTTTCTGACACTAATTATTTTGCCATAATTTACTAAATTAATTGTAACAGAAGTGAGCTGTTTCTGTTTCACAGCATCTTCCAGACTAAAAAAAGATGCAACACTTCTCACCCAGCATTAACAGCTGAGTCCTGGACAAATGTGAACACGCCAGATGGCCGCGGCCTCGTGGACAATCTAAATTTTATTTTTTTGATCTCTCATGCCTGACTAAAACATGTTTGTCCTATAGCAGACACCGTAGCTAGGGTGATGCACCTGAACTGGAAGGGGTAAGACAACAGAACCCAGTTGACTGCAATCTACTAACATTTAGTGGTGAAAAATGTCACACACTGTAACGTTTAATTTTAGAATCAGAAAGACTATTTATCCCCAAGGGGCAATTAGGACTTAGAAGCTAGATCCATCTTTTTTCTGGGGGTTTTTGTTTCAATTAAAAGTAGAAAATGCAACTTTATGGCGGAACCAAAATCTTTATCATGGTTTAGAGTGCTACACTGACTTTTTTGTGGTTTGGTTTGACGCAGCACCTGCTATGTGTTGATATCTTCTTCATGTCCAAAAATAACCCTGCATGCTGCATAATGGTATTGATGGATGGATGTACAAGGCTCTTTATGACTTCCTCTGTGGATCAGGTTCATTGTCAGAAGGGATTGAGGTGGATGATTGGACAGGCGGATGACTGGATGGGCAGGAAACTGGATAGGCCAACCCAACTGTAGTCATAACAAGCTACGAAAGAGAGCAAAGGAGAGAGGGGAGGAGAGAGTGACTGCAGATGGCTGAGTCAGCAGTCCTACGTCCATCCATCCATCCACCACTGCCACCCCTCCTCCTCCACCTCTCCTGTCTGTGTGCCCATCTCACTGTGGCCTCCATTTGACTGTTAAATCACCCACTCAGCACAACAACAGAGAGAGAGAGGCAGACGGGGAAACGGGGGAGAATGGCACATCAGCATCTGAAGCACGGCCGAGAAACACCGCAAAGGGAAAGAGGAGAGAGTGTTGGCATGTGTGGTTCCATTCAGCGCGAGTGTGTGTGTGCAGGAGGATGTCATGTTGAGGCTCGTAGACAGGATTTCAGTGAGTGTATGAGTTGAAGATGGGAGATGGGAGCAGCCATGTGCAAACTGTCGGATAAAGTTGGACAGCACGTGAGAAAGAAGTCGACAGGTAGGATCATGGGACTAAAGACACACACACACCTGCACGTGCGAGGCTCGTGTAGGGTTGTGTTGGGGTGAATAATGTTTGTTTGATTACAAGAAGTGACTATGAACAACCCTCCTCCTCGGTTCTATTTGTTTTAATGGTGCATTTGGGTTGTAGCCAGTTGTAGCTAGCTCGGTGTGTGTGTGTGTGTGTGTGTGTGCCACTTAATTTAAAGTTATAACAAAAGTTGGGCACCACAGGGAAGAAGATATGACTTCAGTGGCTACATTTAGTCTGCAGCTAACTTGTTTTCATGTTGATTTAGCCTTAAATATTTTTTATATATTCCTGTGTCATGAGAACAAAGCTGTAAACATTGCTTAATAAGCTCTGTTGTGAGGCTAAGACTGTTTTTAAAATGGGTTTTTATGTCCAATCACAAAAGTTGAAATCCCTAAAATGATTGACTTAGTGATCAAAAAGATGAGGAAATCTATATTTTTGTTGTTGGAACAAAATTTTCATGTTTTCTTTGATAAATGGATAAAAAGATGATTCTTACTAATTGCTTAATTTCTATCAAATGACTGGAGTTTTAAAGCTGTAGCAAACAGTTTGTCTGAATTAAATATGTTTTTAGTTGCTTTGGTGATTGATGTGTTAGAATCTGTAAGCTGTCTACAATTAGATAACTGCATTAATGAGATCATGTTTATTCCTTAAAATATAAGAATGGTACATGAACACTGGAGGATCAGATGAGCTCATTCAGCCAAGCTGAAGCTTCAAAGCTGCTGCTCAGTGTTTTTGTCCCATGATTCTCAAACTTTTTCAGTTCATGGAAACATTTTTGTTTCTAAAGCTTCTCACGTTGTGGCGATAGGACCATCCTGTAGGATAGGCTCCAGCCTGCCACGCTGAATGTGATGAGTGGAAGAACATGGATAAGTGGATGGCTGTTTGATTTTAAGCCAAACTTATTTCTCTAATTAAGAAAAAGCACTTCTATAATCAAAGAAATGATGCTGTATTTGTGAGCCACCACTAGTTTGCAAAGAAGATGAATTTGACTCAATCAGTATCATCCAGAAAATGTCATTTTAAAATTTTCCTACAGGCTTTGCTCATCTGAAGTATCCTTGAATGTGGAGCCCAAATCTTGCTCACTGACTTTTTGTTTTTATTTAATGGTAATTTGGAAAAGAAATTGTCATATTTAATTCCTCTTTATTTGCATTTCAATGTTAAAACATAGTTTAATCTCACCGGATTTTATTCTGAAACCTCTCCCTCCTCCATGTCATCATTTGCATGTTGTTGTTTTCCATTTGCAGAAGAAGAACCTTAACCGACACGCTGCCCTTATCAAAAGAGCATTTGCATATACGTTACAGAAACTTTTTTCCGTATGCATATCTGCTCCTTACTGCTAACCCTATCATTTATACTTTTATTACCAGTGAATGAATCTATAATCAGGTCATTTCTCTGCAGGTTGCAAGTACGCGTGCCACACTGCATGTCGGGACAAAGTGGCACTGGACTGCCATCCTCCAGTGTTGCCCGTCAGCCAGGACCAGCTCAACAACAACAACACGCCGCTCCATGTGAGTACACAAAACACTCTGACTGGGATTTCTCGCTTTTGTTTTCCAGTCAGCTCAGTCTAATCCAACTCACGAGAATCTCTTTGTGTGTAACTGTGGTCCAATTATCCACAAATATGTACTACAGTGTGGTTTAAAAAAAAAAAAAGATTATTTAGTGTTATGTGATGGTGAAATAGTGTTTAAGGGGAACCACACACTTCAGTGACCTCCCCTCTGTGCTGTCTGATGATTAGAGATTAGTGTTTTATTGTTAGCCAGTAACAGCAGTTAGTTTTATTATTATGTAAACTGTTATTCTCTCCGAAATCTTCTTTGTCTGTGGAAACAAAAACTACATACATTTATTTGTTATACTAGAGGAGTCTAAAAAGTCTCCTGCGTTGTAAAACCCAGGTTATTTTAAATTTCGGTTTATTTGTCACTGTAATGCTGTTGATCACCTCTGGATTGTGCTGTAGGCTCATTTTTTAGCTGGTGCAGTTTGCCGTTTCCCACTTTTGAGCTATCCACACACACACAGTACAAGAGAAAAGAGGAAGCTAACAGTTTATTTCATTATCTTTTGTCGAATGGTGTTAATGCAGTGCTGTGCCTCGTTACCTGGCAGTACAGGCAGAGTAAGACACGCAGATTACAGGCATGACGGGAAAGTATTTACTCTTTCATCCTTTGGTAGAGATACCCTCTACCGAAGGATAACAACCAAATATTAGTTTGAAAAACATTTATTTAAAACTAAAATGGGCACAAATATATATTTTCAAAATGTCACCGTAGTTACCAAAGTTAGGATATTATTGCTTCAGCAGCCAAAACTTTAAGCACAACCTGTAACAAATTATCTTAAAAGTAGAAATAAACTTAAAATGACAAAAAAAGACAAACACTGACTGTACGACTTCATAAATCCCTAAAATAAAGTAGATCAATTATTTTATAGTTTTTCAGTCACTGATCAGACAAAACAAACGTTCTGACATAAATATAGGTTTTAAGAAACTTTGTTTTGTAAGTGCTTTGCTACTTGTTCTCTAATGTGTGCCGTTTTTATATATCGCTCTCTTGGTTTTATTTCTGTTTCTCCTGTCTGCTGTCTGTTTATATTTTATTCCAGCACAGTTGGTGTGGAGCACCTACAAATTCTTTGTACATGTAGAATAACAATAAAGGGCTATTTTATTCTATTCTAGTCTAGTCTAGTCTAGTCTATTCTATTCTATTCTAGTCTAGTCTATTCCTAAAGTGCATTTTAGAGACCCAGTTCATGAAGTGATTAGTTAATTAGCTGATAATGTGATGGATGTGGTATAAAATGATATTTATCTGAGCTGGAAAACATGTTGGAGTCTGTTTTTGATTGTTTTTGACACTCGCACACACCCATCGTGCATCACTCACCAAGAATTGTGTGTGTGTGTGTGTGTGTGTGTGTGTGTGTGTGTGTGTGTGTGTGTGTGTGTGTGTGTGTGTGTGTGTGTGTGTGTGTGTGTGTGTGTGTGTGTGTGTGTGTGTGTGTGCGCGCGTTCGTGTTTGTGTGTAATTCCTAGAAGACAGCTGGGTGTGCAGGAGGCCTGGTTCATGTAAAGTGTTTTTGCAGACCACATGAGGCTGTAGTGCAACACCATACAACTGTATCTCTGTAGGCTTTCAATAACTTTAACTGTGTGTGTGTGTGTGTGTGTGTGTGTGTGTGTGTGTGTGTGTGTGTGTGTGTGTGTGTTAGCACAGCCAGCTAGAGTTATTTCCTTCATAGGAAACCGTTACAGGATGTGTGACACTGGCAAAAAGAGAGAGATCAGCGTGCAAACACTCACGTGTTCGAATCACAACACTTCTATTAAAATAAATAAACCACCCGTCTTTCTCCGGTCAACAGTCACATTCCATTTTATACAAGTTAAAACCCTCCCATTATTGTATTCATGCACTAATCCACATTTTAGTGGATAAATATTTATATATGCACAGATAAGTTAATGATGAGTCAGCAAATGAACAGAACACAGAGAGGAGCTGTGATATAACAGCACTAAAAGTTAGTTTTTAAATGTGTTTTAAGTGTAATAATCAATGAAATATTCTTCCTGAATCCATAAAAAGGGGTCCTATTGGGCTTTTTCTTCTTTTGTGATATAATATATCTAATGAAGATGTACAAGTAATCCCTGTGAACAAACAGCTCGGACTTTAGATTGCTCTAAATGTTCAGATTCAGATATTTTTCTCTATGTTTGGCTACTGTGTGAATCATGCAAAGCTGCTCTAGGATAGTCCAAAAATAGAAGTATGGCTGTCTCTAAGTCCCACCCTGATAAAAGATGGCTGGGAATTAAATGGAAGTAATGTGATGCTTCTGGATTTTGAGTTTTTCTCTTGTTGAGTTTTTGATCCGTCTATCCCTCCATACATACAACCATTCCCAAGCCAGTCAAGAGGCTTAATCTCTCTATCTTGTCATGGCTGTTTTCCTGGCATCTTCCCAGTAGGAAATGCTCACTGGTATCCACGATTGAGTTCTTTTGGAATGGGAACCTTTCCGTAAAGTGACCATCGCCGTCAAACTTGGCTCTCTCTTCACCACAACGGATTGGTGTGTCTACATCACTGCTGATGCCACACTGATCCATCGATCCATCACTCACCTGCTCCAGTCTCCCTTCACTGGTGAACAAGAGCGTGAGATACTTAAACTCGTCCACCGATCCCAGCAAACATTTAGACGTGGAATGACCAATCTGCTGCTGGTGTTAGTTTCAAAATAAAAGTTGCGCTGATGTCGGAGACAGAACCTCAACATTGTTTCGAGCTGCTTATTGACAGTAGCACACAGACCTTTGTTAGGCCTTTTAGCAGGAAAGCGGACACTGCAAAGATACCTCAGACTCCGCCCTCTCACTCTAGGGCCTATTTCTGATCCCACTGATTACACGGTCAATCCAGCGCATCACAAGGCTGCTGACATCAGGGATGATAGATAAGACAAAGTATAAGATAATATACTCCATTATATCCTCTTTAGATTCCCATCATGTTCTTGATCAAACCAACGTCACACCTCACTGCTTACATCCCATCTGGCAGTGACATTGTTGTAAACTCCACTGAGTTTCAAAGAGTGGTTTTGGCTCTCGTGTTCATCAACACTGGTGTGGGTTTATTCTTCGAGGAGGAGGAGGATTAGCTCAGCATAATTTCAAACCAATGCTGAGCACATTTGCTTTCTAATAGTGCTGAGTAATGCTGAGTAAAGAGCTTTTGTGGGCTTTTAGGTGTCAGTTATTAAAAATACATTTCTGGTGTGGTTGTGGTGTGTGTGGCCACAGATGTGTAGCAGACATGCATGTGTTTTCAGTTAAACGCGTTGTATGTGTGCTGAGTCACTGATTGATAATGAGCATGTACTTTTCTTTTAATAATACATTTAAAATCCCCCTTTTTTTTTTGTTTTTGAAAACGTGTCAAAAATGCAATGTTGCCTGTAAGGTTTTTTAAGACAGCTGAATCATGTGAGAGAGCGACTGTCTGTCTGAGGTCTGTGGCGGAGACGTCGGCTACAAACCGAATGCCTGAGATAACGGCGTGATATGCCGCCGTAAGGCAGTCGTGAGTGCTCGTGTTTTAGAGAAAGTAGTGAAGTCTGAGTGTGTCTTTGTGTATGTGATCAAGTCAGTTGTGGATTGTGAACCTGCAGTCATTTCTCCATCGTTTCAGGTCCATCCATGCATTTTCCTAACCACAAACAGCCATTCACAGGCACACTACAGCCAATTTAGACTCACCAATTCCTCCTAAAGTCCAAAGACTGTACGAGGAAGCCACAGAGAACTCACACAGACACACTGAGAGACTGCAAGCTACACACAGAAGTCTGATTTCAAGCCCTATTTTCTAAATTTTCGCCTTTTTAAGTGTCAGAAAGAAGTATTAGCTTATCCAGGTTAAACTCATTGGCTAATGGCTTTCAAGGCAGTTTTCTTTATATAGTGCCAATCACGATCCAATAACAGAGAGAAAACCCAACAAGCAAGCACTTGGTGACAGTAGGAAGGAAAAACTCCCAGGAAATCTGCATTATGGATGAACTGGAGGCAGTTAGCTTTTAGAACACAATGACAAAAATGAATTATAGAAGTCCAGCCTAGAAGTAATAAATGTATTAACTAATTTTACAGCATCATTCTGAGACAGGATATATCTAATTTCTGAGATATTTCTCAAATGACAGAAAGCAGACCTTCATATTTGTTTAATATGCACGTTGAAGGACACATCCGGGTCAGAAAGAATTCCAAGATTTCTCACAGTCTTACTGAAGGACAAGGTAAAGCCGCAAGGCGTAAGCATCCGGTTAGACTCCATGTTTCTAAGATTTTAGGTCTGACTACAATAACCTCCGTTTTATCTAAATGTAAAAGCAGGAAATTAGAGGCCATTCAAGTATTTATGCCTTTAAGAAATGCCTGCAGTTTAACTAATTGGTGTGTGTCATCTGGCTTCATGGATAGATAACGCTGGGTATCATCTGCATAGCAGTGAAAATCTTTATCTTATCTCACTGTCACTTGTTATCCATCATTTAGAGCTGGTTTGTAACATCCTGGACAGCTGAATGCAAACATAGTTACAGGTACAGAAAAACAGCCACCTACCTGTATGTACGTATGCTATACCTTTTGCGTTGTACTACCACACAGCTGCAGTTGTCGTGAATCATGTCTGTTAGAGCTGCTGATTGGCTCTTTGGGGGCAGGAATAAAACAGCCCTCCCATATTAGATTTCTATTCCGGGTTCTCGCTCTTGTAATGTTTATTGGAGTTGGAAGTGTAGATGTGGATGCCTGTCAGCAATAGCTGAGCTACACACACAAACCCACATACACACACCTGTGTTAGTTATCACAGTGACAGTGATCTCACACAGCAGCCAGCCAGTGTTTGGAGGCATTTACTCAAGAGTGTAATACTAGCGTCCCGTGAGAACAGCGTATCAAGAAGTA